GTAACAAGTGATGGTTGCAAGCAAGATTATAATATACTGAGAAACTACAATTTTCCCAGAAAATTTATAATTTCCTAATGAAAAGTGATATCTGACGAGCTGAAGGATCTAATCTCCTCAGTTTTGAAAAGAAAAGAAAAGATTTTTCGAAGAACAGAAGTTATCGCCTCCTCCGTTACATACGTATACGTAGTAATTTACGCCATTTTACTTAGCGTACCAATAACAGAAGCTCATCATCTTTTAATTTGAGTGGTTGCTACCTTTTTAGCCAATTTTATCTTAAGTTAATGTCAGTCATCAACAGCTGTTCGTTGGTTATCCACTTCCTCTATTCAAACAAGATGATCACTATAAATACGATCTTTATGATTCCAATATGCAAAAGTAGGCGACTTTGAGAACATTAGTGAGCAAGTAATAAAATGGTTAAATAATAGAACAAATGCTAAATAAAAGTGATGATAGCAACAGTTTCTCAACTTACTGAGAGACATTCATTTCTTGTTGGTAATATTAATATTCATTGCACTTTTCTCGAAGGGGTCATTCTAACAATTTGATGTGTGATCTCCGCTATGATTGGCTATTCGCCTTCTATTGATTCAGCAAGATTGCTGGACTTCTAGCAAATCGTCTTCTAGAGTGATCCATTTAGACATAATGATATGCATATATTTCATTGTAAATTAAAAAATAAGAAAACAATTTTTGGAAAGGAAAATAAAGAGAAAGAAAAGTCTTTTTTGTAGCGCGATAGTGTTGGGCGCATTTCAAACCAATCAACAATGTTTGACATCATTCGACACCTGCAGCGTATTTGAAATGTCATGAATCTCTCATTTCTTCATTTGGTGACACATTTTTGTCAGCTATAAAGAACAATTTTATACTAAACTACGGCATACTTCGGTATACTACGGCATAATCACGATGTTTAATAATTCTACTGGCAACTCTACACATCCAGATACTCCTGACTTTTCCTACAGCAAGATACCATGGACTACGGCTTTTTCTCTTGAATTTGTTCTTGCCTTGATGGGAA